TATCCAATTTTGTTTATGATAAAATTAGAGCATATTTACTGCAAAGTAATTATGAAATGTACACTCAGTTGATATAGTTTCATTCTAAGTCTATTTATAAGACCACCTATTAGAAACATTTTATATTGAATCTTGACCTCAGCTTCAACAGAAACAAAGTGAGATGCGAAAAAAAGGAAGAAAAAACAGAAAGGGAAAGGGAGAAGCAGGACCCTCATCTATAAATATCATACAAAAGTAAAACATCAAATGAACATATGACAGGTAAATAGCTTCTAAACCTCCATTGGACGTATTTGAACAACTATATTCCGTCATCAGTAGGAAAATTACCTTTGGGAACCCCGAAGGATCATGTCAACCCTTTGGTTCTTCCAACGTGAACCTCCAAAACATGTTAATGTAAGCTAAACGCACAAATTAGTTTTAAATGAATCGCAGAATGAAAATAAACATCAGTGGATACAAGATTACCTGGAAACAACTCTCCCATGAGCATAACCTAATCATGCACAACCTTCCAAAATGCTTGAATGGTGTGTTAATTATATAGGGTCCGTTTGGCATGGCTTTTGAGGGGCTTAAAAATAGCTTATTTGTAGTGTAAGCCCGATTGGAAAAATCATGCTGTTTGGTTGGGCTTAAAAAAAGAGGAGCTTATGAAATTTAAGCCACAAACGTACGTTGTCTCTCAAGCTGAATTTTAGCTTATGAAGAGCTTATTTTCTACCAGAGCTTCTTTTCTCTCACTTCTGCTATATTTCTCATTTCAACTTTCTCGTTTTTCACCTCAGCTCTCCCACAATTTCGTTGCTGCAGAGGGTCCTTTTTTTTAATTCCTCCTTTGTTGTTCTCCCACTTCTATCATTATTCCCTATTTACTTCTTTTTTTTTTTTTTATCAAGCTTTCATCACCTATGACCCCTCTCAGATTAACGTAAAGGCTCATTACTTTGCCGCCCAAGGAGCTTCATTTTTAAAATATTTTTTTTGATTTTTAAAATTTTAAATTTTAAATCACCTGTTAAATTTCACTTCTTCATATTAAATTAATTTAAATTCATTATATTATACAAATTTTTTATCATGTTTCGTTATTTATTAAAACTCATACTCATTTTGGTCATTTTACAACCAGATTTCCTTTTACTCAACCATAATCCAAACAACTTTTTATCAATCTTACTTTTGCAAACTAGCTTTTTTAAACTCCAATCCAAACACAATTCAGCTTATTCAATTTAGCTTTTACCCAACTTCACTTATCCATAAGCTACTTTTTTAATAAGTTACTTTTCCAATCGCTAATCCAAACGGGCACATAGATGTTTCAAAGTTGAGGATGAAATGAAATTTGAATTTGAATTTCAAATTTTAGCGCAAGGATTCAGGGAGGATTTTGATATCTCATACAGAACTGTGGGCTTCTTCACTCTGCGGTTGATTCTGACACTTTGCCTCTTGCATGTTTCTCTGTAATTTCTTTTCACTGCGCCATTTGAAGGCTGTCGTGAAAATGAAAACCTGGGTAATGTGAACCCCGAAGGATCATTTAGGGTTTTTTGGGTAATGTTGCGTTTTTTTAATCATGTGACCCAAAGTTTTAAGCCATATGATGCCTTTTATAACAGGCCTCAACTACAATACATTTGGGGAAAAAAAAAAAAAGCTAGTGTGCAGCCCAATACATCCTATTGCATCTAATTCTGAATCAGTTAACACGAAGCCAGAGGAAGAAGGTTTTTTTTTTTTTTTTATTAATATGGCTTGTGAACAGTAATCTGAGTCTAAAGCTAGTGCTAAGCCATTTTTAAATATGGCTTGGTGGAAGAGTTTTTATAGATATATTGAATTTTAAAATGACCAATTTGAACTCCTTGGAATATAAAGTCACATCTACCCTTCCGAATTTCCCAACATAAAGCTGCAACAAAGGATCGATGCTTGACAATGGTATCTTAAATGGACTTGGATTCTCTCCACTTCCTTCCCATCCTCTTCCCCTCCACTACCCTTCTTTTCTCTTCACAATCATTGGATTAAAATTCCAATGGTCCAAATTTAACATCTTATAAAAATAATATTATTAAAAAAATAAATAAATAAATTTAAACTGTTAAAATTTGGTCTAAACAGTTTGCAATTGTAATAAAAAAATTAAAAAAAATTTGCTCTATAATAACAGTCTGTAGTTATAAACTGTTCAGATTAGATTTTAACAGTTTAAATTTATTTATCTATTTTTTATCATAATATTTATCTTTATAAAATGTTATAAAATATTAAATTTGGACTATTGGAATTTTGATCCAATGGTTGTGAAGAGAAAAAGATGGTAGTGGAGGGGAAGAGGATGGGAAGGGTAGTGGAGAGAATCTGATTCCATCTTAAATTTGAACTTTTTTGCCAAACATACGTTCATGGTATGATACTTGTACATTGAATTCCCGATAACAAAATCTCATTCTAGGTGTGCTTGGATTAGCGATAAGAGAAGTTATTTTTTTTTCAATTTGACTTTTACAAAAATGAGATTAGGTAAAAGTCAGGTAGTGTAATGTGATTTATATTTGGGTTGGCTTTTGTAAAAAAGATCAGTTTAAGAAGTTAAAATTTGTTTAGATGATTAATAAAAAAATAAATTTAGATGTAAAATGATTGAAAAGGATGTAAACTTTATTGAATGGTACATATTTATATTATATGTTTATAATATGATAATTGTCAGAGAAAAATTAAAATTAAAATTATAAAAATAACAATAGTTATTTTTTAAAGAATAATAAATTTATTTTTTAAAAATGATTTTATTATTCAAAAAATAATTTTTTAATATTAAAAACTAATTGGCTGGATTTTAAAAAAAAAAAGAACTCACATCATGCATTCTCTCTCATCCCTGACTCGTGGGCCTCACCTATCAAAATGTCTGGTGGAGAAGCTTTTTTAACCAGCAGCAACGAAGAAACTAAAAACAGGAGCTTTTGAGAAAAAGTTCGTTTTTAGTATAAGTCTATCTTCACGGCGAATCCAAACATTTTTTTTAAATAAAAAGTTATTTTTTTCAGTTTTTTCCAGCGGAAAAGTCAATTTAGAGGCTTTTATCGTGATCCCAAACACACGTCTATCATTCACGAGCAGGAAAAAAGATCTCGTTTCATTATAAGGATGTGGGAATTCCCAATCTCCAAACTCAGGTTCCCCTTTTACCGACCAAAAGTATTTGTACCCTCGTCTTCCTCCTCCTTTTTTTTTTTTGAAGTAAACTTGTTTAAAAAATCCACCATTAAAAAATTTATTGTCCTTTCACCCAAAAAAAATTTATTGTCCACAGATAAATAAGAACCTAGATAGTTGTAACTATTTTTTAATTATATACATCACATCTGTAGCTATATAAATGAAACATATAAAATTAAAGGCAAGTTATACATAATTAAAAAAGAGTTAGAAAATAGATTAAAAGGGTGTTTGGATATCTTGAAAAGTGCTTCTTAGAAGTATTTTTTACAAATCTAGATAAACTTCTCCATATATTTACTTCGTAGACTGTAAAATCACTTCTGAAATCATGATTTGGTTTCTATTCAAATACTCCTAAAGTTTGACGTCAGCATTAAAATTCCTTCCCAAAGTACCACAAGTTTTGTATCGGAAGATTTTTCAGATTTCCCCTCCCATTTTCCCAAGATCATAGATTTCCTCCTTCCATCTCAGTCCTTTCCGTCCCATTTAATAAGCTTCATGGCAACGATAAAGTCTCTGGGGCGAAGCGAGAGGGACTAGTTGGGTATGGCCCCATAATTCTTTAATTTTTGCTTGCATCAATTCCTCAGAAATTTATATTATAAACTTTGTATTATGCGTGTTTTCTTAATCTCGAGCTTAGTTTTTTAATCTTAGATTCCCCCCTTGCTGACCTTATCTTTTTGTTCTCACTCAAAATCTCAAACCTGCGATGTTGGTCATACAAGAAACCCTGTAATCCACCCATTAGGTACCCTGAAATCCACGCTGCTGATTACGCTGGCGGCTGAAATTGATGGCATTAATTATTATTAACTATTACTTTAATTAATTTCTTAGTTCTTAATAATTTTTCAGAGCTGGAATCAAGCGTACACCACGGTGCTCGTTTAATGTTGACGCAGTCTCTGTTCAGAAGCCGACCCTGGTTCAATTATCCCCGAGAAACTCTCATTTTCCGGTGAGGAACTATCACTTGTGATTTATATTTTTCCTGCCCTGTTTTTCACCTGTTGCTTGGTTCAAAATCGCATTGGAAAGAGCTTGAGCTAGATATGCGAAATGCAATTTGCTTTTTTTTTTTTTTAATTAACTCTTAGCTTTTGTTCTCGTTTATTTCAATCCTGTAGTTTCATTGTTCGAAATTTAAGGGCGAAGAGTTCCAGAAATTCAGACATGGCGCCACCGGTTCTTTCTCTTTCAAGGGCGAAGAATTCCAGAAATTCAGACATGGCGCCGCCGGTTCTTTCTCTTGCTCTTCCGTCGGAGACTGGTCGAGTTCTCAGCATTCAGTCACACACTGTGCAGGTTTTTATTGTCCCATTTCAAATAAGGCCTCCTAATACTTTATGAACATGATATACAGGATTGCTTAATTAATATACATCAAATGTGTTTGTAAGACATTGCCAAGAGTTGGATCCTGAGTTGTTCTTGCCAGGCGAAAAAGGTGATAAAGCATCAAAGGGCACTCCTTTGGTAATTAATTTGGTTGAATGAAAAATTATTGATGTTAATGAGTTTTTCAACGTTGTTAGATCATGCTGCCTCTTAATAAACAGTAGAATTCATCATATCGGTTTTCGATTGCTATTTCTAGTTTCCTCTTGGCGTAATTCTGCATGTAGGATGCATGCACCGCACTGAAGAATTACCTTGACAACGTAGCCCCTTGCTATTCTTCTTAGGGTTATGTCGGAAATAAGTCAGCTGTCTTTCCGCTACAACTTTTGGGCTATGATGTGGATCCAATTAACTCTGTGCAGTTTTCGAATCACACAGGCAAGCTGCTTCTATTTCTTCATTCAGTCTCTGGACTCTGACTCTTTGAGACCTGATTTGTGGTGCGATGACATTTGTCAATCTGAATAAGTTCAGACGTGTTATGATTTTTAGTAACAGTGAACTAGACTTGAGGACCATGCAGGGTATCCAACCTTTAAGGGTCAAGTTTTGAATGGAGAGCAACTCTGGGATATTATACAAGGCCTTGAAGCAAATGAATTATTGTTCTACACTCACTTATTGACCGGTATGTCAAAAAGTGTCCTATATGTTTTATTAATACTGAACTGTATTCCACTCTTCTCACCTCTGGTGAAATTTAAATCAGCATTATGGCAACAGATGTTAAGAACATCACAATATATAAAAGCAATTGGCTAGATCACTACGCTGCGCTATGCCTTATTCTAAATTCCTAAACCAACAACCAATGGTTCCAGCAAATCCAGTTTCAAGCTTTAGACATGATTGTGAGACCGTATTATCCATGAGGGAATTGAGGACCGTTGAATTAATAAAGGAGGTAGGTTGCATATTTTCCTTGGACGGTGGTATTTCTAACCATGGATGAGTTAACTGACATCTTGCTGGTAGCTTTTTATGAAATGCTTCTGGTGCAGCCACCTGTCATAGAGATGAGGATGTAGTACGTCTAGCATTAGACTTGTCAAGGGAGTCAATGATTGGATCTGTTTAGGTCGTGTGATTTCTCCTCGTGATATTTTCTGTTGGTGACAGTGGATGGAGGCCACTTTATTTTAAATTTATTTAAATGTTTCGCTTAATATGAAAGCCTCTCTGCAGGTGTATGATCCCTTCTTGTTGGTTTTTTTTTTTTCTGGACTGTTGAGTAATGTGGAATAGTGGGCCCTATTTCTTGCTTTGGGTGTAAATGGAGTGATGCCTGCTGCTATCTTGGTAGTAGATAATGGGGTGACATTTTGCTGGTTCCTCGTTGCTTTCATGATATATTGGGATAGAATGGGAAGGTCTTAAGGTGGAATGATCCTCTTGCTGAGACCTGTGATGTTGTCATGATGACTTTTGGTGGTAGCTTCCATTATTTTTTTCTATTGGTGCAGTAATTCATACATGTAGATGTTATCTTCTTTTTCTTCCCCAATGCAACCTTGAATTTTATTGATATACATCAAGATAATTCGAATTGTGCTGGATTATTCTGCAAAAGTCTACCCCTACCAATTTTATGTATTTTCAGGTTATATTGGTTCAGCTTCTTTCCTGAACACTATATTGGAAGTTGTCAGCAAGCTTCGTACAGTAAACCCTGAACTTACATACGGTAAGATTTCTGAAATTACTAAAGCGCAAGGGTAATCATCACTTCATTACCGTTTGAGGCTCAACCTTGCTCTGAATCAATGTTAATTTATCCTGAGTCCCGATGTTTCAAAACTCAAATTAAACCAGGGGGACTAGTAGAACTGCGCAAATCAAACCATCAATTGTTGGTTTGGTTCCATTTCAACCTTAGTGCATCATCATTGTGTGAGTCAATAAATCTGAGCATGGGATAAATACACAAAAAATACTTCATACTTGTGGTCTTCAGAAAAATCTGCACCAACGATTTGCATGCATGGTGTATCAACGATTTGTAATTCTTAATCCATATAATTGTTCTTCAGCATCCCTCTCTCGCATTATTAGTTTCTGACATTCTTATGCTTTTGTAACTCTTACCAGCTGCATTATAACAGTGTACATAAATTCTCTTTGTTCGCCTCTGCTTTCAAACTACAAGACCTAACATTTTATATTCTAAAGCATCAATTAAGATTATTTAATTTGAACACAGGCGCATGTCGCTTTAGCTAAAAACAAACTATTAAGATTTGGAGGGGGCTGACATTGCAAATTATTAACGATTTAATGTATAATAATATTCTTTTACTAAACTGTGGTGCCACCCGAGTTACACCCCCTGTGTGAAAGATGATAAAGAGTCTGTATGCTTTTTTGTCTGAGAAACTCGGGTTCATTGTTAAGTTCAAACCATCTTTTGATTGGTGTAAACTCTAAATCTTACAAAAATTGAGTGGTATTGAAATAAGACACTGGACTAAAATAGAATAGGATGATGTAAAACTACTATCATAGCCAACCAATAAAGGACCATGCCTTTATCAATGGATAAAAAGGCTCAAGAAAATCACGTTCAGAGAACTATCTTCGTTTAGATCTCCAAATGCTTGAATTTGACTCTATAGCTCTGTCTACCAAATAATTATAAAAAGGAAAATGACCATGCCTTTTTGTAGTCACCTAATAATTCATGCCTTTACAGTCTTCAATTCTTCGTCGGAGCTTCACTTTATCTTAGTTCTCCTGGGGAAGTATTGTTTGCATATCTGTATCTTTTCTAAAGTTTGTATTTTCTTGTCAGTATGTGATCCGGTGATGGGTGATGAAGGAAAGCTTTACATACCTCAAGAACTGGTATCAATTTATCGTGAGAAGGTAAGAATGATCCGCAAAATTTTGCTGGAGGTGCATTCCAGCAGTATATACATTATTAAGAGTTAGATTAGATTTTGTCACTTCCTTGGCTGAATCGTGTAGACCCAAGTCACTAATAATTGAAATTCAGCTTTTAACGCATGTTTCTCTGTCCTATGTATGAGATGGTATTAGCAAAATTTACTTTTATATGGTCCATTCTCTTCCCCCCAAATAAAAGGGAATATATATTGACTATGCAGTTATACATGTCTTGGTGTAATCACCCATAACATGTCATCATCCTCCATCTTGAGACTGGAAGGGGGTGGATGATATGTGGTCCATTCTTATCGTAGAATTTCGTTGCTTGTTTTAGCATCTGAGTGACTCAAATTTTGTTAGGTTGTTCCAGTAGCTTCGATGTTGACTCCCAATCAATTTGAAGCTGAACTGTTGACAGGGTTCAGGTAATCATATAACAACTGAGATTGGCTAAATTTCCCCCCAGTTTTATGTGTTCTTTATTTTCTGTCTCTTCTAAGTTCTGATATATTGCGTGGCTGGTACTTGGTAGCATAGCGCTATGCTTTGCCTGTTATATTGTTCAGTATATAATACTGAACGTAAAAGAATATTCAATAGGACTTTGAAGTTTTGCGGTGGATTTGGAATATACTGTCGATTATCTTCAGTGAGCATCAAGTTTGCCGGCTTGTCTTGGAGCAGGGGTTAGCTATGAAGTTTGGAGACATTGACATTGGAGATAAACCTTGAAAAATGTTCCAAAGAACAATGAGAAAATGAAGGTTATAAGCATGTGGCAATCCTAAACAAGTAGTTTAATCGAGTTTGGAGAGAGTGTATACAAAAAATAAACGTGATATTAATACTGCCATGAGATTTGTGATAGATGTTTGTAACTCTGACAGGAGAGAGAAAGAGGGAAGGGAGGGAGTTGAGAGATAATTGAGAGAAACAGGAAGGAATTGAGAGAGAAACGGGGGAAACAGAGTCTGAGTAATGCGCACTGAATTATTCACATCATAATTTGAATACAACCTAAGTGTATACTCTATATATGGGTTCAATACCTTTCAACTACTCTTATGGTCATTTTCCTAATTAACTTCATAACTCCTATTCCCGTCACCTACGTGATTACAATTATACAAATTTTTGAGACTAAGGAACAAAAATTGTTGGACCCAAGTTCACGAGTACATGCCCAGGCATTGGAAAAAATGAAGATTGTGACCTAAGGCATTTGAAACTCAAAGAACACGAGCCTAGTGAAATAGAATTGGATTGGACATTTGAAGAGTAGACTTATTAAAGAAATTATGGCCTGCTCAATAGAAGTTCCAAATCCAAGGATTGGACAATGAAGGACCACACCCAAATGTTAAGGCAACTGATAACTGCATTCAGGAGAAAGGGGAAAAGAAGAAGAGTGAGCCAAGTCCAGTTACATTTGATGAGATGAATGAGTCCAAGTATAAGTCTATTTTGGATGTTGAGTTGATGGTGGTGATTGATTAAGTCCCAAAAAAAAAGAAAAAAAGAAAAAAGGAGCATAAGGTTCCTTTTTTTTTTTTTTTGGTAGGTGAAGGAGCATAAGTTTCTTTGGCAATGAACTCCTTGTTGGCTTGAGGATTTTCTTTTAATTAATTTTATTTTTTTTATTTCTTAGGGAGTGCACTATGGGGATTGACGAAGTGACTGGAAATCTCATGAGCTAATTTTTATTTAGTTTTCTTATCAACGTTATCTTGTTCTTTTTTTTTTTTTTTGGGTTTTATTTCCAAATTATGTAATTTTTTGAAAAATAAAAATGTTAACAAGTGATTGAAACAAATTTCCGTAGACTAATTTAAGTTCTTCAATATTGTTTATGTTTTACTTCCACACCATAATGCTACTTCACAATATTTTTGCTGTTTGCTATCTAAGCGCTTGCAATTTTAACAGGATTCAGTCTGAAGGAGATGGCCGGAAAGCCTGTAACCTTCTTCATGAGGCTGGACCTTCAAAGGTTTGCATTTGTGCTTGCACCTATGGAAGCCTATGTTCATATTTTTACTCTCTCTCTCTCTCTCTCACACACACACACACGCACACACGGACACACCCACACTGAAATCTTTTCTGTTCTCGAATGTTTTCTTTTCCTTTGGAAATGGACTTCTGATCTTGATTCATGCTTTCTGAATTGTCTATCTGAAAGGTGCTTCTCTCTCTAAATCCTATAAACTTCTCATGTGGTCATCCATTGTAACCAATCAGCTGCAAATGTCTCATGCTTTTTGCTACTCCTCCGGTCCTAAATGTAAGACCCTTATACTAGTGTATATAAGGATCTTATATTTAGGACTAGAGGAGTATAATGCATCACACACTGGAATCTAAGCTGCGTGCTTAGGGGGAACGAATTTTCACTTATTGAAATACCACATGCAGTGTAGCAATCTAAGCTATATCTGTTTCAGTTCACTTATTTGTGTAATAAAATTCCATCTTAATGCTCCCCACAACGGACAAATCCATGGCTCAAATCTCTGTTACACGTGTTAATTATGGGCAGTAGAAACTGAACTGTCTCCGAGATAATGTTTGGGTTCTTGCATTTCACTGTAGTATAATGTCAATAACTTGTCTTTACTTAACATCACATGTAACTTGCGTACAATGGATGTCAATACAAGTTCTGTTGCCTTCCAGGTTGTAATTACTAGCATAAGTATAGATGGCAGTCTCTTCCTAATAGGCAGCTATCAAAAAGAAAAGGTAGGTATATCTCATGTACGATTCCATTCAATTTTCAATTTCTGATATTTGAGCGGTTATGTTTATTTGAAGTGTTTACTTTTCATAATTACCCTGCATAATATAGTTGCTTGTATCTTGACAGTCATAAACAATCTTTTTCCACAACTTTTTCATACATTTTATATTTTATATGCTATACTTTCGATTTCTAAAATCCTATCTGCCTTCCATTTGACAATGGCTTATGATTGCATTACCTTTATGTGGCAGGGACAGCCTCCCAAACAATTTAAGATCGTGATACCCAAAATTCCAGCTTATTTCACAGTATGAATACTTCATTGCTGTAAATTTATCGTTGAATCTGTGCTGAAATCCATCAGATTGTTTTTCACAATGCAATGCTATAATTGTTTTTTCGTAAAGGAAAGTGAATGTCACTGTTCATTCAACCACGGATGATTTTTAGTTGAACTGGTCCATAGTTGAGTGCTGTATGACGTATGGATCTACAATTATCTATTTTTCCCCATTATTTTCAGAGTTCAGGCTCCAATTTATTAGCTTGACAGTCCTAATAATGAGATTTTTCTGTTGTTCCCATGAAATCAGAATTGACAAAGATTTTAAGAGGCCTTTACCACCATCATTTGTAAATTTATGACTGGGCCATCGATCCCTTCAGGGGCATCTGATAAAATTGGGATGACTTGTTTACCGCAGATTTCTCTTTCATCACTGCCTGTCTGCTGCACCGAATGGAAATACAAATAATGCAATTAGAACTGACAAGTTAATGCTTCCAAAAAAAAGGGGGCAATTTCAATGAACTTATTTGATTGTTCTTACAAAAAATTAAAGAAAGAGGGGATTGCAACGTCATTTGAGGATTTCTTGACATCACCTGTTTGTTCAGAAATTTATATGATAGTTTTCCTAAAATCTTATTCTCTTTAGAGTTTCATCCATACATAGAATTACTGGAGCTTACTTTTTTCCTTTTTTTGTTATGCTTTTTTATTCTCGTAGGGAACAGGGGATCTCATGACTGCTCTTCTTCTTGGTTGGAGCAATGTACTGCTCATTCTTATTTATCTTATGGCTTTAATTGTATTCTTTATTGCCTAGTAATTCCATAATATTCATAGAAAATCTCTTTCTGCGTTCTAGAAATACCCGGATAATCTTGAGAAGGCTGCAGAACTTGCGGTATCAAGCCTGCAGGTATTTGTTTTATTTCTCAATATTATGATTCATTTTATTCATCCCTCGCAATATTGCGGAGCGTTGCCTCAGAAATGGGGAGTCCTTCATCATTTGAGATTTTTCATTTTTCTCTGATTCTTGATTCTCTGTCCTGCAATGCCGTGAAATTCGGTTTTCTTGATTTCAAAACTTCTGAATGATGGGTGATTAATATTTTTTGTGCCACCAAATCATGCAGGCACTTTTGCAGAGGACAGTCAATGATTACCGAAGAGCTGGACATAATCCTCAGTTAACCAGCTTAGAGATCAGATTAATTCAAAGCCAGGATGATATTCGTAGCCCCCAAGTCCTATTTAAAGCTGAAATATACAATTAAATTGGTGATATGACCGCCTACGATATGTGATCTTTGCTTTCTCGTTATAATATTCAAGTGCTTCCAGAACTCCAAGCTGTACGGTATAATGAAAAGGAAAGATGGTTTATTCATATTTGTTCATCAGACACAGAAAATAAATTTGTGATATGTTTAGCAACAAAGGCCTACAAAAAGTAGACTTTACTTTGCTAGGGTGACAATGATAGAATAACTGCTGATATGATTGGCAAGAATTAAGTTATTATACATAATGATTATTTACAAAAAGGGAAATCGACAAAGAAATTAATAATAGAATTTAAATTGGGTGGTTTAAATGAAGAAAAGTTATGTGAGTTATTTATGACTAGAAAGTACTTAATAAAGTGAAAAGAAAGCTTTATCATTGTTACAAGACCAATAATGCGATATGGAAATGACTGTTAGGTTTTATAGGGATACCATGGGTATAAAGTGGGATAACTGATATGAGAATGTTTAGATAGATGTATGGTCATACAAGAAAAGATGGGATTGGAAATAAACATATAAGCCAAAAAGTTGGAGTGACTTCTATTTAAAAGAAAATGGTAGAAATTTTTTTGAAATGATTTGATCACGATTAAAGACTCTTTGGATTTGTGGATAAGGAGGGTTGATTAAATTGAGTGAGATATTTTGATCAACAATTTTCTTAAGGATTTGGTCTTTTGTAGAGCTTAATGGTATCAAACAATTCATGGAACTGACTCTACCTAACAGGATAAGGTTTTATTGTTATTGTATATAATGATCAGTGTGGATCCTCTTTTGAATAGGAGAGAATCTAAAAAATTCTAATGCCAATGTTTGAATCTTCTCTTGGACATCAAGGTGGGTCATGGGCATAGAATTTGGATCTTGGCTTGATCCCTTTTTACCACCTCTCTTCCTTCTCGTTCAAAAACCCTTCCATATGAGTTAGCAGATGTCAATAACAAAGCATAGAAACTAGAAATGTTTTCTCGATCTAGATGGTAAGCCGCACATCCGTTTATGGTTTATTAGTTAACGGATGTTTGTATGAATTAACGGTAGTAATACTTTTCCACTTACGAATGCTTTATGGGCAGATGTACGTCTTAACTCCATAAATAATGTCCAATTCGATTCTCATTGATGCTACCATTGTGAAGGATCCAACATAAAAGGGAACGAAAGCAAAGAGTAATGAAGTCTTGAGGTAGCACAATCTTTCCTACGCAATTCCTTGAAAATTTGGAGTGCAGCGTTATGTTGTTTTAATAGAAAAACAACCAGGTTATAAGGACTAGCAGAAAGAATTAATCCCTCACAATCGAATGAATTAATATTTGAATTCATGTTAGAAGAGGTGTTTACATTTAGTGCTTGATAGTCGCTCAAATAAGATTGTCTCTAATCGGGAAATAATCATGCATAGCCAAAAAAAAAAAAAGGGTGTATGTGGGTCACTGATGTAACCTGTATTATTGAAAAAAACCAATAGATAATCTCTTCGAGTCTTTGATCTGAATAGTGAGTCTCATGAATCACCAATAGGATAATTCCTCGGTACAGCAACTCAACAATGATAAAGACCGATTATTTACCCCTTGATTTAAATATTTGGACAAATGCAAAATTTTCTTATGTAAATTATCATTTTCGTTTGCTTTCCATTCCTTTTTCTATTTCAGAGCGGGTGGGTTTTAGATTTTAAGACTACCAATAAGAGAAGACAAATTAATATATATTTTAAAGAAAATTAGTTAACTCTGTAATTTTTTGTGCTCTCATTTTCTAATATCAACCAAGATTTTTGCAAAAGAGGAACAGAAATGAGGAACATTAGGAAATCATCAGAATAATGTTAACATAAAATATAAAATTTATGACAAATTACATTACTTATAAGCAACGACGCATAACTTATTTTTTTAGACATTGTGATAATATACAAGCGCATCTAGTTGCACATGTAAGTGACTTTTACCTTGCACATACTTTTATCTCTTTGAGGTGTAAAAATAGAGATACTAATATTATTTTTTTTGGAAATATTTCTTTTTAAAATTTAATTCTTGCCCAAACATATGGGGAAAAAAAAAATTAAAACTGAGTTTTTTTTTTCAAAAAAGAAAAAGAACCTGTAGAAAGCATGATTGTTAGTCGTATTTTATCACGGTATATCGTTATTTGTTGATGAGTTGCATTTCATTATCTTTGATCTTTGATCTTTTTGGTTAACAATAACAAAAGAAGCACTAACTTATGACTTGTAAGAAGTATAATTTACTACTAATTTATATGCATTTAAATTTGGTGGAAAAATATGCATTTGATTATTGTTAAAAAAATTGATAATATAGATATTTTTCGGTTGAATTACATTAAAAATGTTAAAGAAATTTTTTGGGGTAATAACTTGTTTAGAATTTTTCAATTCATAAAAATTCGCAAAAATTAAATAAAAAAATCACTCGGAAAAAAAGTAATGGTTTTTTCACTTTTTACCCCTCTTTAGTGGGGAGTATAACGGAAGTTCACATTTCTTCTCAGCAGAATTTATTTGGAAAAATGACATTGAGGTCCCACAGAACAAAAAATACAGCAAAAAGGTCTCCTGAAATCCCATAATTTTTTTGAAGTCCCAAAGGGACTTAGATGCAATTTTCAGAATCTGGAAATTACCCTCTTGCCCTTGCTTATGAGATTCGAAAATGCTGAAAGGAGATTAGAGCCTCTGTTTTTTGTTTGACCGGAAGAAAGCTGAAACCCTGTTGTGCTTTTGTGCTGCTGGAAATCCGGTGACAACCCATCGCGATGCTCAAATTCCCCTCACAACCCGCCGAAAATCGTGAGCCTTCGTGCTGGTTGGTGTGTGTTGTGATTTAAGTTGGGTGTGTAGAATGATAATGGGTGCTCTGTTTTTGGGTTGTTTTTTGGGTGGTTTTCCTCTGTTCTGACGTTGGTTTAGTGGCAAAGGAAGAAAAAGATGAAGGTTAGTGAGGGTAAAACCCTTAGCACGAAATGGGACTGTGTTGTCAATCAGGCCGCGATTGTTGTCAATGTGTGCCGCTACACTTGTCAATGTAGCTCTTTAAGTTGTCAATGACAGTTGCGTGCTTCTTGATGCAGGTTTAAGTTACTGATGGTATTTCAAAGCTTTTGTTTTTGGTTTAGGATTCAGAAGTTAATGAATGGAAAAGCTGTGTTTTTGGTTGGTGTGTGTTGTGATTTAAGTTGGGTGTGTAGAATGATAATGGATGCTCTGTTTTTGGGTGGTTTTCCTCTGTTCTGACGTTAGTTTAGTGGCAAAGGAAGAAAAAGATGAAGGTTAGTGAGGCTAGAAACCCTTAGCACGAAATGGGACTGTGTTGTCAATCAGGCCGCGATTGTTGTCAATGTGTGCCGCTACACTTGTCAATGTAGCTCCTTAAGTTGTCAATGACAGTTGCGTGATTCTTGATGCAGGTTTAAGTTACTGATGGCAAGTACGTCTGGAAAACATCTATTTTGCTTTGTTCACATAAGGGGAAAGTTTATAAATGATGGAGAAGATAATATGAGATATGTGGGAGGTAGTGTAAGAACAACCAATGTAAAGGAGGGCACAAGTTATGAAGAATTGAAGGAAATTATATCATCAATTGTTGGAAAAGAAAGCAACTCATTTCTTTTGAAATTCTCAGTTGTGTTTGATAAAAAAACTTTTGTGGAGTTGGTAGATGATGATGGGGTGGAACATTTGATAAAGTTCAATGAAGAAAGTGGTCATGTGTATGTCGAAGAAAATGAAAATGAGGACCACATAGAAGCAACAAGGGATAATACAATGGAGGAGCAAGATGTGTAAGTATAGTTGAACAAAACTGTAAATGGGTGTGAAGGGAATTTTTTGTAAATGGATACACACCAATAGTTAGTTTCTCGTAATTACATGCAACCCCTGTGTTTTTTTGGGATGGGTTGTGAAATAGGTGTAGTTTCATGTATATGAAGGTGTAAATGAAAGTTGACTATGAATTGGCATGTTAGATTCTGCTGTCATTTAAGTTGTCATACCTGCACCTTGTATTGTCATTAGACCTGTTATGACTTATCAATAGAGCACTGTCACTTGTCAATTAATTTGCTGATGTAAGTTGTCAACAATATGAATTCAAGTTACATAACTTGTTTTAGTAACATATGATATTTTCAATCACTCTGTCATATTATATTTTTGGTTATTTGTCATATATAATCATTATTAATGAAGTGTCAATGGTGGCACTGTGACTTGTCAATGGTGGCATAGTGACTTGTCAATCATGTCCTTAAGACTTGTTAATGGTGGCGCTGTGACTTGTCAATGGTGGCACTGTGACTTGTCGTTGGTGGCACTGTGACTTGCCAATGGTGGCACACTGACTTGTCGTTGGTGGCACTATGACTTGTCAATGGTGGCACACGGACTTGTCATTGGTGGCAAGATGACTTGTCAATCGTCGCACCGTGACTTATCAATGGTGGCACTGTGATTGTCAATGGAGCACTGTGACTTTTCACTGGTAGCACTGTGACTTGTCACTGGTAGCACTGTGACTTGCCAATAGAGCAGAGTGACTTGTTAATTGAACATAACTCTGAGTAACACCTTCTGATTAATTATATTTTAATATAAATATTACTTAACATTACAAATAAATAACACCTTCAGTTGTAAAAATTTTGAATATCAATTGTTAATATCCACATATTCATTTGTTATATCACTTGTCATTAACTCATGTTATATTACTTAAATATTACATAAATTTGTCGATATCAATAAAGATATAAAACAACAAAAATAAAAAATGTGAGTTGTCCCCAAGAAATTGGTATCATAACATCTGATAACAAAGATAATAATATTATAAACATAATTTGATCAGTTTGTTACAAAAGGACCTATTGACCATTAAGCTATTGCCACTCATGGCTCACACCCTTAGGTGCCAATCATCTCATAACACATCCTGGCATAACAGAACAAAAAATTAATGGACTCCTCTATCTCCTCCTCTTGCTCTTGTTGAAGTCCGATAGCATTGACATCACTTCATCCCTATGTTCATTTTGTGGATGGGTAACCAACCACCACAAACAGCCAACCTTCAACTCTTGCAATTCATCATTGGAGTATCGTGGCATGGTATATCCTGCAGCATCACGAACAGTGCCATCCCACTCTTGTAGCCAAGAGAGGACATGAACTCCACATGAATCACTGCCAAGCAAATTCAATATGTAAGCAGCATGCAATTTTTATTGTGAACAAACACAACATAACACAATCAAACAGAACAACTACACTCACGTATCATTCTGCACATAAACTTTAGCCCATTTCACTTCGTTGCCAATTTTGTCCTCATTGGCAAACAACTCTGGCTTAACAGCACGCAACATCGTATGGAAACAGTTCATCTGCAAAAAAAAAAAAAACACATAATCAAAAGGTTTACTAACAACACAGCATCCAGTGACAAGGGACAGAGCATATTGTGACAAGTAACATAGCATCCAGTGACAAGGGACAGAGCATCCAGTAACAAAAAACAGCATCCACTAACAACTAACAGAGCATCCACTGAAATGACAGAGCATCCAGTGAGAAATGACAGAGCATCCAGTGTGAAGTAACAGCATCCAGTGACAAGTAATAGAGCATGTAGTGAACACAGCATGCAGTGACAACTAACAGAGCATGCAGTGACAACTAACATAGCATGTAGTGACAACTAACACAGCATCTAGTCAACTAAGCATCCACTGACAACTAACAGAGCATGTGATGACAACTAACACAGCATCCAGTGACAACTAACAGGGCACGTGATAACAACTAACACAGCATCCAGTGACAACTAACACAGCATCCAGTGACAACTAACGCAGTGACAATAACACAACATCCAGTGACAACTACATAGCTGCAGTGACAATATAAGAGTAGTCATTGACAAGTATAACAGCAGCAAATAAATACACACAGTCTGTGTTGCCATAAAGTGTTGGGATTGAAGTGCCCTTTATTCGTCCTCTTTTTCAGACGCAATCATCAATATGGAAATAGAAATCCCCAAAAGGAATATAGTAACCACTACAGAGCATACAATCTTCACAAATACTTTGAACTCCAAGCAAGGCATATCAACTATTCAGCCTCATTTTTGTAACTTTAACAATCCACCGTGGTGCTCAAAATCCACTCAGTGTGCCACCATTGGCAAGTCAAAATGCCACCATTGACAAGTCACTTGCCACCAATGACAAGTCCGTGTGTCATGATTGACAAGTCATAGTGCCACCAACGACAAGTCAGTGTGCCACCATTGGCAAGTCATAGTGCCACCAACGACAAGTCACAGTGCCACCATTGACAAGTCACAGCGCCACCATTAACAAGTCTTAAGGACATGATTGACAAGTCACTATGCCACCATTGACAAGTCACAGTGCCACCATTGACACTTCATTAATAATGATTATATATGAAATAACCAAAAATATAATATGACAGAGTGATTGAAAATATCATATGTTACTAAAACAAGTTATGTAACTTGAATTCATATTGTTGACAACTTACATCAGCAAATTAATTGACAAGTGACAGTGCTCTATTGATAAGTCATAACAGGTCTAATGACAATACAAGGTGCAGGTATGACAACTTAAATGACAGCAGAATCTAACATGCCAATTCATAGTCAACTTTCATTTACACCTTCATATACATGAAACTACACCTATTTCACAACCCATCCCAAAAAAAACACAGGGTTGCATGTAATACGAGAAACTAACTATTGGTGTGTATCCATTTACAAAAAATTCCCTTCACACCCATTTACAGTTTTGTTCAACTATACTTACACATCTTGCTCCTCCATTGTATTATCCCTTGTTGCTTCTATGTGGTCCTCATTTTCATTTTCTTCGACATACACATGACCACTTTCTTCATTGAACTTTATCAAATGTTCCACCCCATCATCATCTACCAACTCCACAAAAGTTTTTTTATCAAACACAACTGAGAATTTCAGAAGAAATGAGTTGCTTTCTTTCCAACAATTGATGATATAATTTCCTTCAATTCTTCATAACTTGTGCCCTCCTTTACATTGGTTGTTCTTACACTACCTCCCACATATCTCATATTATCTTCTCCATCATTTATAAACTTTCCCCTTATGTGAACAAAGCAAAATAGATGTTTTCCAGACGTACTTGCCATCAGTAACTTAAACCTGCATCAAGAATCACGCAACTGTCATTGACAACTTAAGGAGCTACATTGACAAGTGTAGCGGCACACATTGACAACAATCGCGGCCTGATTGACAACACAATCCCATTTCGTGCTAAGGGTTTCTAGCCTCACTAACCTTCATCTTTTTCTTCCTTTGCCACTAAACTAACGTCAGAACAGAGGAAAACCACCCAAAAACAGAGCATCCATTATCATTCTACACACCCAACTTAAATCACAACACACACCAACCAAAAAACACAGCTTTTCCATTCATTAACTTCTGAATCCTAAACCAAAAACAAAAGCTTTGAAATACCATCAGTAACTTAAACCTGCATCAAGAAGCACGCAACTGTCATTGACAACTTAAAGAGCTACATTGACAAGTGTAGCGGCACACATTGACAACAATCGCGGCCTGATTGACAAACCAGTCCCATTTCGTGTTAAGGGTTTCTACCTCACTAACCTTCATCTTTTTCTTCCTGCCACTAAACCTAACGTCAAGAACAGAGGAAAAACCACCCAAAAA